TGTCCTGAAAAATATTGTTTCCAAAAATATTCAAAACTGAAGTAGAACCACAGTAGTAGTTGAAATACTTGGAGTGATTAATGTGACTCAAGATACCTCAGGTAAGGCCTAGGAACCAGTGGAGAACCGCTGAGAAGCAATAATCCTCCACAGCCAGAGAAAAATAGTTGAAATAATGAGGTATCAACAACAGTTCTGAGATTTGGGAAAACGGGTAAAATAAATGCCAAAGCAATCCCCTGCTTAAACCCTGGGCAACCTTTTGAAGATGACATTTCATGAGATTACACATTCTCAATTACTGCCCAAGTTTGTCCTCCTGTCAGTTCTTCAACTTATTCCCTTTCTTCTTCTCTCTGTCACTTAAACCCTAGAATAATGGTGTATTAGAGATAGCTTGTATTGGCTCACAAAAGAAAATCATTAAGCTTCCAACTATATTAGGAGCTTGAAATAGGCCATGGCAGGAGAATTGATCACTATTTATTACTGTGGAAATTGTGAAATACTACAAAGCAGGACTTGTTTCCCCACGTGTCATTTTAAAAATATTTACCAAGATACTACCGTGTTAGCAGTTTTTGAAATTTAACATATACATTAATATAATAGTGTACCAAGAAATTTTCATTTTTGTATATGTGATGTTTCTACTCTGCCATATCCAATCCGTAAACATTAGGGGACTGCCTAAAACTTTAAGAACTAGGTTTGACTGTGCCAACAACAAACAATAACAACAACAACAAAGAATAGAAAGGAAATTGAAGATGCAAAAATAAGACAGTTATAAACATAAGGTATATTATCAGTGTGTTTGTAGGACAGTGATCTAAAAAGTAAAGAGGACTTTAGTTTTACGCCTATTAGGAATGGATGAAATAACTAGGAGCACATAGTCAGAAGGAAATATATTAAAATTATTTTACATGCACTGGAGGAAAACTCATAATAAGTGGTTAGAGAGAAGCAAAAAAAAGAAATCATTAATGAGATAAAAATTAAGATCTCTCAATGCTCATCTATCTCCCAAAAACTTTATCTGGTTTTTTCCTCGGTTAATTCTGATACTTCCTCCTGCTTTTCTATGTGGTTCCTTCCACATTTAACTCCTGTTACAACTGGTTGAACTAGTAAATACTGACAACACATAATTTCTTCCATGGGCAGAATTTATGAATTTTTACATACCTGTTTGTAGACAGATTATTTTACTATTTTCTTGTCCTAATATCACTTGAGACACAATATCATTGTTCTCTGCCTTACCTTCTTACATTTTAAGACAGGTGATTTATTATACTGCCATGTTTATTGAAGCAGAAAACTCTATACCAGATCACAAGATATCTGAAGCATTATACTAAATTGAACTTCAAGATTTTTAAACCTCAGTGGTCTTATTTCTGTGAATTTTGGATTGTGCTTATAATTTAAATTTCTACTTAATAATTATTAACATAACAATGATGTGTACTGATAATTAGAAGACACATTGCATGATGGGTTAGCTTGTTCCTTAGACACTTAGAATATTGCCTGGTACCCAACTGAATGCCAAATCTTTGCTGCATGAACAAATAAGTAAATTAATATGTATGCAGCTTATGGTAGAATGCCAGGAACAACCAAATATTGTAAGCATAAAGCACATTACAAAATAGTACATAGGGAGAATTTAAACAGGATACAATTAACAGAACAAATAAATACCAATATATGAATGAGAAATAATGAAGGAATATATTTCAAAATTTGGCAGTAGGATTTCAAGGTACTCTAAATTTCTGTTATGTATTTATATAATTTCATATTTTATATAACATTAGTGGTTATTATATTAATATGTATTTAAGTTGCTTTATAATCATAGTATCTTTATGTTTATCATTTTCAGGTTTTTTAAAGTCCATGAACTGCCTCCTTAACAATCGCCTATATGTTTTGTATGTACTTTATACATTGATACATATCAGCAGTTTAATTGGAGGATTTACTTACCTTTTCAAGTTCATAGAACAACAGTTTGGTCAGACAGCATCTCAGGCTACCTTTCTTATGGGTAAGACATATTTCTTACCTGTTTTGTGATAAGTGAGGTATAATGAGTAGTTGTATTCCAAATGACAATTTATCGTGAATATGATTTTATATTTCAGAAAATAACTTCCATATGATTTCTCAAACTTCACTGAATTTGTCAGTCATTATTCTGGCCTTGAAGTTGCAATTTATGTTATAGGAGTTCCTAAAGGAAAAGTTGCATGTTGAATGGGACATTTATACAGTGTATCTATATAATTAGATTTAGTAATTTAGTGTTGAGATACTAAAATTGTTTCAAAATGTGGTCAATATAATTCTATAATTCATGGACTTTGAAATAAAAAATAGGGCATTGATGTTTTCAAAGATGGCTTAGTTACTTTTATCTCATTGCTAAGACAAAATACCCTATACCTACAGGTTAAGGGAAGAAAGGTTTAACTCAGTTTGCAGAGGTTTTAATCCATAATCTGACTGGCTCCGAGGCAGGGTGGCATATGGCAGAGGGGCAACAGTGGCAAGACAGCCAAAACAGTGGAAGACAGCAAAAGCAACAAGGGACTTTAACAGCATCTTTAGGCCCCTTTTATCCTACCCAGATTATTCAGGGTGGGTAGCACTTACACCCTTAATCCTAATGCCCTTGAGGCTAGCATTGCCCCGTGAATCAATTCCAGTGTCACACACTGTAGATCCAACTACCTCCAAAAAAGCCCCATCCATGACTGCATGAGGCTTTGGGAAGACAGCTAAACACAAGCCACAACAAAAGATGAAACAGTTTTAAAAACACCATCAAAATATGAAAGATTAAAAACAAATATAATATTTTGAATTTTATGGTACAATGTCTATTTACAATGGCATGTTGAAATCTACATATTAAAGAAAAAATTTTATATCATTCTTCCCACAACTCCATTATTGTGGAAATACTGTAGATACTGACTACATATTTAATGAATTAAATATTTATTGTGTTATGTAACTAGATCATAAGTGTACAAGAAAAAAATAAGTTGAAAATGATTTTCCTAAATTACTGCACGAGGATTCTGTAATTCTGTTTGAATTTAAGATAAAGTTTAACTGTCAAGATTAAGTTTTGACTTCCCATAAACCATCCAGAATTTTTTGTTAGAGGAGTCTTCTTTAATAACTATATAGGTAAATGAAATAAAAAAGTTATGAGGGATCAAACATTTTAAATGCAGTATATTGACCTATTTGATCATCTGTATATATGAACATGGAATAGATGTTAATTCAATTATTCAACTATATGAGAACACTTACCCACCCAGGGGGAAAATTGGAGTGGGTTTTTGAATGCTGGGATTCTTCATCTTGAAAATATAAAGGATTTTAGATGATAGGAACAAGTATCCTAAGTGGAAAGATTGTATATTTTTGTTATTGTTTTCCAGGATAAAAAAACAACCCTTATAGAAATAATCTGTTTAGACACAAATATTATCTGATCTTTGTACTTAAAGAAACTAAGCCTTCGTTTTGGGGAGGAAGAAATTATTTTTGTCTCTCTGACACTGTTTCTCTTCTCCATTTTGACCTTCCACCCTTCTGCTTAAAAAGAAATATGAGTGGATGAATTGTGTTGATATATACTGTGCCAGATGTAATATATTGTGTTTATATGTAAAAGCATGTCAGAAAAACTACGGTCATATAATTACAACGTATGTAATTACAAATTTTCTCTCTTTTATTTCTAGGACTCATAATCCTACCTAATATGGCAGCTGGAATAGTTTTAGGAGGATATCTCATTAAAAAACTGAAATTAACCATAGTTGGAATTGCCAAGTTTGGATTACTTACTTCATCCATTAACATTGTGTTCCAGCTACTATATTTTGGTCTAATCTGTGAAAGCAAATCAGTTGCTGGCCTAACTTTGACTTATGATGGGTTTGTATATAAAACTATATCAATTTCATAATATGTTAACTATCCAAAGAAAAGACTCTGGGAAATTAGGGAAGAAAACAAGTTTAACTAAAGTTTCTTTTAATTGAAAGAATTTTTATTTACCAATTTGCCAAATTTACATTTCTTCAGACCTGAAACATTGATTTTTATTTCTTCTTTAGATACACCTGTAAAAATCGCTTCTTGGCTTTTTGGCTAAGATCAAGTGTAGAGACACCTGTAACAATAAAATCTATCACATATGGAGGTGGTTACAAAATGGGTACTTTTATCCCCATTTTATTGATGTGGAAAGTAAGGCTTGCAAAGTTGCACAGATTATATACCTAACAATATCTGAACATAATCTGACTGATTCCCATTCAAATTTAGAGTTTTTGACTCTAAAACTTTTATTCATAACAATTGAGCTCAAAACTTTTAGTCTTAACCCCTAAACTTGAATGCATCATGATTGTAATATAAGTGATATTCTCCAAAAATGATTGAAAGCCTTTTATATAGTCTACTTTAGTGTTTACAATCTTTACAATCTTTATATGAGAACATTTGCAGATAGTTTACTAAATTCTTATTTTTTTTCAAAGCTAATACTGTTTTTTATATGGTTTTCATTATAAATATAATTACAGGGGCCGGGAATTTAGCTCAGTGGTTCCCAAGTTCAATCCCCGGTACCCTCCCCCAAAATAATAAATAAATATAATTACATATCCTATACAAAATTTCATATTAGATTTGAGAACCTTTGCTTATTCACTACTATCACATACTATCAAGTATTCCTAGTACTTTAGTCTACTCCCAAGCAATGGCCAGACTCCCATACAAACTGACATCTACTGAATACAGCTAACAACTTGAGTTTAGGAAGGATTATATTCAAGCAAAGATCTTTGGACCATAGTTCAATTACCAGGTATATTAGGACTACTTACTTTTAAGTTCTGAGTTTTCAAACTCTAGGCTCTCTAAGTTGTCAATTCTAACTTTTCAGTCTTCTCACACTTCCTTTTTTAAACGTCATTCTATTCTAGGAGGCATGCCCAGCTAATCCTGATTTACCTTCCTGTTTCTTCTTATTCCTGACAGTCTTTGATTATTCCCATCCACTGTCCCTGCTTTAATAAATCTTAACACAGCATACCAGAACTTTGAATTCTGGAGATAAAGAAACTTAAAAATCACACAGCCCAACCTTCTTATGGTCCTTTCTTTATTACTTGCAACACAGAGAAATAGTATTCCTCTCTCCTTTCTATTCTTCACTCCTCTATCTTCTATTCCTCTGCTTCTTCCTCTTCTTTATTTTTATATTTCTCTCTCATACATTTCCAGACTTAATCCAGTGACATCTCATGCAAATGTACCACTGTCTTATTGCAACTCAGAGTGCAATTGTGATGAAAGTCAATGGGAACCACTCTGTGGGGACAATGGAATAACTTACTTGTCACCTTGTCTGGCAGGATGCACATCTAGAAGTGGCAATAAAAAGTCTACTGTAAGTATTAGTTTTACTTTTGCTCTTCTCCATAATCAAGGCCATAGGTTACATTTAACAATCACTTATCAAATCTGCCTATAAGTAATGTCCCCAGTAAAAATGATACAAGAAAAAGATTGCAGCATTTTCTGTCATTGTGATGGCTGTGATGTTGTGTACAAAAGTCTTTAATTAAAAATCCTGCTGTGGGACTCAATCAGGTTTCTCTGTTGCTTGAATTCTAATTTGAGATTACCTCATTATTTTTTACTTGAGATTGTAAGCATATGACCTTTTGGAATATGAATGTACTTAAAATCTCTGTAGAGCATCTCATTTTACTGAAGTATATTATTTCCACTGAGTTGGAATTACTTTGCCCTTCAGAAGTTAGAGAAAAGTCCTGAGTCAGTTGACTGTCAGCACTACATGCCTCATTAGGACAATGATGTATATACAAAGGTGTATTCAAAACAATCTTCATATAATTTTGAATATAGATTCTGATGAGTTTAACTCTGTCCACACCACTCTTTTGTCTTTCCAAAAGTAATCCAATGCATCTTCCTGCTTACTTAACTACCCAATTCTTGTCTTCTGATATTTATTTCCTCAAAGCTGGCACTTCTCCTAGGATAATTTAGTATCTTCCTCACGCATTGCCAACATACACCATAGAATGCCATTTTCTGCTCCAATCAAAATATTGCTTTCCATATAAACTGTGGGTTCTCCCTTTATAGTGTTGCCCATACCACCAATCTACTCAGAACCTCACAATTGGGTAACCATATCCTGAACCCAATCCTGTTACCAACATTAGAAATACAACCAGCTATGAAGATTGGGCTCAGCACGCCCTTCCATGTTGATTTTCAAATAGTTTTCGTCATTCCCTTTTCTCTGATCCTAAAAATGGTACTTTGAAAAGGCATGGTGAATTTTGAAGAGCAAAGAATTCTACATTCTCTGAAAGTGCGCCAGAACTTTAATAGAACTGTACAAATATGGCCTAAAGAATTTCCTTAAAAGCTCATCCCTAACTTTCATGGCTATAGTGATTTCACTGAAACTGTCATTTAATTCATGTTCCCACTTCACTCACTGATGGAGGCCTGGAAGAAACATGATACTAGAATCATTGAGAGGGTTCTGTCTACCACAGGTACATCATCATCTGAATAATTTGGGGCTACTGCAAAGGCCTTCTAAGAAATTCTTAGTAATAAACTGTCTATTCTCATATAAGGTTCTTTGTACTCAAGTTTGGTTTTCTCGGCCTATATGCTTGTTCAATAAACAATTCTTCCACATTATTCCTAGTTGAAAAAAGTAGGAAAGTAAAGCTTTGTTGAAAGCATAAAAGTATGGATTTTTCCTTAATTCCTCCTGCAGTGACTGGGCTGTAGCATTAATAGATTCAAGGTGAACTTCCATAAAACATCAGTTTAGCCTAAAGTTAGAACAGAATTGACTAAAGGCATTTGTTTTTGTTTGTTTGGTACCGGGTATCGAACTCGGAACTGCGCTTTCGAGGCAGGCAGAGGAATCACTGAGCTAAATCTCCAGCCTTAAAGGCATGTGTTTATGTAAACTACTTGCCTGATTAAATCTCCACGATCAAGTGTTCTTAAATTTTCTCTCTTTGTGCTTTGTTGGTTTTGGAAATCTGTTGTGTTGAATTTCTCTAATAATACTAATATCATCTATTTTATTACCTGTAAGTATGTTCTTGGATATTATTTTTGCTTTCCAGAATAGAATTACAGCACCCTTGCCTGGCTTCATTTTCCCTTAGTAGCATCCTATTCTGATGGGCAGCTTCTTCCCCTTTTAAAAAATTTTGTTGATTCCTTCTCTGGGTCATCCCTCTGCAAGGCCTTTCTCCAACACTTAGTTGAGATTGTTAAAAAGAACAGTTAAAAAATAAATAAATAAAAACAAAAAGAACAGTTTAGTACATTATAGAAATGAAAAGAGGGTAGAAATATACACAAAAATGTATATGAATTAAAAATTATACAGTTTTAAACACTAACTTATTCAATTCTTTCTTAATTTAAAATTAGAAATGATTTTAACATTAAAAATGAATTATATTTTCTTGTCTGCAAAGGAATCCAGGGAACTATTTTGCCTTTCAGCTATTCAGCAAGATATTTTTAGACTTTCCAAAAAACTGTAAATTTTTTAGTTTAAATAGATGAGATTTACTTAAGTATAATGAAATATATTTATAGTTCTACCAGAGTTTGCAAATTTATTGTGTAATATTTCAAAACTGTATTTTTTAGGTGTTCTATAACTGTAGTTGTGTAGAAGTATCTGGATTCCCCAGCACAAATTTTTCAGCCCATTTGGGTGAATGCCCAAGAGATGCTGGTTGTAAAAAGAAATATTATATTTATACAAGCATACAATTTTTGCTTGCCTTTGTCGGAGCATTGGGAGGCACTTCATTTATCATGCTCATTGTGAGGTAGGTATGACTTTTAAAAATATTTTCATGTTATATTAGGCTATAAGCATATTTAGTGATGTATATACTTTTCACATAATACTTGCAATCCAAATTCATGTCTTTGTACATTTTAATTAATAATATTCCTTCATAGGATTATTGTTATACTTAGAATAAATAATAACATTTTGCCTCTCATTCTTCGATTATGGAATCTAGATTCCATGCTTTCTCCTCTTTCTAAGAATCTTAAGACACAGACTGACAATTGCCTCAATTGTCAAAGAGTCACTATGACTCCAAAAAAAATATTTTCTTGTGAGTTGTCTTCCACCCTGATTAGCCTGTCAGGGAGATTCATTTACTAATTTCACTGAAAGAAAATACTTGTGCATTAGATTTAATTTTGAACCTCAGTCAATAATCATAATCCTAAGCTTTCTTCCACTCACAGAATGGCGTTTCACCTAGTCTCTCATAATATTGGTGTAGACAAAAGAAAAAATATGCAAAAAGAATAAATTTTTTCCTTATTAGTTAAATATTTTAAAAAGATACTATGCTTGATGAAGAATATTCCGTGGTATGTAAAATAATAAGGGACCTGTTGCTACTCATGTTCTGCTAAATATAACAGGAAATATTGGCCAGAGACAAATAAGCTTGAAAATATACATGTAAAATGTTCTTGATAATAATCAGGAAAAAAGATTGTTATTAAATCAAACAAATAGAGGGAGGGAGAAACACAAAAAATATGACATTTGATTCAAAGATCAAAAGACCAAGTAGCCAAATGAGGGGCTATTTAGGGTGAAGGTCCAGGTGCCAATGTCCTCAGGCAGGAAGGGGCTAGAATTTTGGAGGAATGAATAAAACTGTTGGTTGGCACACACTGAGAGGGGTGTGGAACAGATTAGCTCCACTGAAAACATGTAAAGACTTGGATGTAAATCTTGAGTTATATAGGCATATAAGTATGGTGACCTGTTTAATATCTAATGTCTTTAAAACTACATAGTTGATTATAATTTTTACTATCAGCTAACAGAAAAGGGAAGAAAAGTTTAAAAGGTTGTCAAAACGAGTATTGACCTGTAAACTGAGACTACAGAAATTTAAATTCTACTCTGACTCCTAATCTTCCTAAATTACTTACACTAAGCTATTTCACAGATAGAGCTATCTTCATGTTAATATAAAATGCCTCCTCTAATAGAGAAACTTTGTTCATTGCCAAATTAAAGATTCATTAACTTACAGAAAATCACCTCAGTCATACTAGCTTGAATCTCAGTATTTCTTAAACTGTCATGAGCGTTTTAGAAGATATTGTTTTATCACTGATGATAGTTACCTATGATTTTGCTTAAAAAGTAGTTAAGTCAACATTACTACTTTTGAAAAACATTAACCTCTTGCCAATGTTTCATTGAAAAAACTTTTGTGAAACTGAGTGTAGAATGAAAATATGCACATGAGTCTATTAATGATTCTTCAGTGTTCTCATCATATGGCTATTACTAAAGTGAAGCTAAGCAGGAATGGCGATATGTATTCATTCAGTATCTATTTCATGTGTCAGGCATAGATGTGTGGTTATGATGCAGCTGTTACCAAAAGCTTGATTTAGCTTCCACTTTATTTGTGTATGTGTGTGTCTGTATGTGGTGGTTGCATATAGGAGAAAAACAGTAGTAAGCAAATAAACATAATAAGTAAGGTAAATATTGCACACTAGAAAGAAAAATAAATCACAGAAGGCCAGTAGAAACAGTGAAAAGGCAGTTAAGCAGTACTAGTCCAGATATTGTATATTGAAAAACATGAAAAGTGATCTGGATTGAGAGATGAATTGGGAGAGTCCAAGCCATACTAACATGGTGACAGAGAAAAGCAATCCACGCAAGCATACAGCAGAAGCAAAGGCCCTGAGATAGAGCATGCTCCATATGTATGAGATCAGGAAAGGTTTGAGGAAGAAAAAACTGAGAAGCACAATGAGAGAGCTAGCATAGTCCAGATCATGTGGGACACAGTCAAGACTTCGGAGTTCATTCTAGTATACTAGGAGGCCCGGAGAGAAACTGAGCATGAGGGTTGCACTGCTAAATTATCTAATTAGAAGATTACTTTGGCTGAAATTTCAAGAATAATTTGGGGTGAGGCAAGGATAGAATCAGGGAAAACAGAGGGTTCTGCTATTGTCCACAAGAAGGGGCTTGACTGAGAAAGGTGATTTATTTTTTTAAATTAATTTTATTGGTACATTTTTGTATATAATTTAATTAAATTCATCATTGGAAATTTGCACCTTTACATCATATATCTTGGTTCTTATTATTTCCCCCTTCCCCTGCCCTTCCTTCAACCCCTCCAC